CCCCAGTGTAATTGTTAACTAAAGCTTGTGACGTACAAAAAACATCGATTTTTTAGAAATCATCCTCATATTGAGGATTAAAATTCATCGCCAAAAAAATATGTTTGTTTAGAGAAAATAAGTTTTCGTTTGTTCGATTCTTAAAACGGAAAACATCATGAATATCAATAAGTTACCTTATATGATTAACATGAATTAACTTAAGAATTATTATAATTGCATCTTAATTTGTGAAATTCTGATAAATAAATTAAAAATTATTCTGAGATTCCGTTATTTTATTTTTTATTTTGGCCACTTAAAATCAAATCCTGGTCAATTTTGATTCGGACACTTCAATCAAACTCCAAAATAGAATGCATGAAACCCTATTGCGCTAATCTGAAATTTCGAGAAAAATTTAAATTTGTAAAAATTCTATTGTGAAACTTTCAACAAATCGATTTTTAAATACTGTATTATAATACCGCAGTATAGAGCCACTATGCCGCAATGGGTAAGGTACTGAACTGTCAATGTAAAGGACTGGTATTCAATTCCTAGTGGCTACATGAAACCCATCCAGCTTAATATGGATGGGTTTGTCTGGGAAGTAAAGGCGGCCTGTGCTCAATGCTAGGGGATAGAGCCTCCTAATGAGAAGACCCAGGTTCGAATAACTGCGGTGGTTGATTGATATGATTTCTGCTCCCGATTCGCACTGCCAGCAGTGCTGACGTAAAATATTCCAAGTGGTAAATGGTAGACGGGTCATAGATAAAAAATCTCCTTGCCGTCGGGCTAACCGTAGAAGGTTTTAGTCACTTTCCTTTCCAATGTAACGCAAAAGTGGTTTACTTCTATCAAAAAGTCTAGTTTGCCCCAATTCATGATCCATGAGTTAGTTTGTTTTTTGTGTTTGGTTTAAAATTACAAGGCTACAGAGATGAACATTTCAGTAGTAAAATTAGGACTGGGTCGGCTGTTCAACGTCGGTCATTAAATAAAACAAAATCATACCGTTGGTCTCGAAACTGTTGATCCTCAACCGTGATGATCCTCTTAGGTCCACAACTGATTGTTGTGGGAATGTTTTACTTTTATTTTTCATTCAGCAGTATACGTATTTGAGAACATTTTCTTATAAGTAAAAAGAAAAAAAAAGAAAGAGAAACCGCATAAATAATTTAGCTCTGGCCTTTTTTTTCACGTGGTCTATGTACGAATCAGTAAAAACAAGTATTTTCAAACTTAAAATCTGCTTTTTCTGAAATAATTATTTTCCTACTTCCTAATGCATGATTTCTTGCAATTCTTAACTGATATACTGATATACAAAACTGATATACTGATATTTAACTGATATACAAAATATTTTTGAAAAACTGACTATTTCCATTGTAGTGATTTGGTGCAGATGGGACACCGGTGACCCTTTTATGTATTTTTTTTCTGAGGTTCTAATTACAAGTAAAAATATATTTTGGTATTTCGTTGTTGTTGTTGTTGTTGTAGTTCATTTTACGTCGCACTAGAGCTGCACAATGGGCTATTGGCGACGATCTGGGAAGCATCCCTGAGGATGATCCGAAGAAATGCCATCACAATTTTGATCCTCTGCAGAGGGGATGGCACCCCTGCTTCGGTAGTCCAAAGACCTGCACGCGAAGTCGATCCCTTTACGGTAGAACAGTTTAACGAGAACCAATACCGCACACCCTCGGTCCCTACGCAGACTGATCCAAGTGGTCACTCACCCGCACATTGACTGTATCCAGTGATGCTTGACCTCGGTAATCTGCTGGGAACCGTGTCTTAACGATCAGTCCACTGCGGGACTTGATATTTCGTAATTATGAAAAATAGTCTAGTTAGTAAAAAAGATCTGTTAGATTCTCGGAATTACATTTGTTCTAAAATGTAAAATCCAAAAAATGTAGTTAGAAAAGTTAGTTTTTCATTCAAATTCAAAAATATATCATTAATTGATTTTGTAAATTTAAAGAAATTTCAATGATGAATTATTATTTCACTTCGAAATTTTCGTGTGCTGCAACAGCACACGAAAATATAATAAGGGAGAAATAATTGAGGAGAAACAATAAAGGAGAAATAGTAATTGCTTTTCAAATTTAACTCATAGTTACAGAAATTTAAGCCCTCTATCTAGACGGAAAGTTGTCAGAATTTGATTCGCAATAAATTATACTAGGCGGTAAAATGAAAAATTCTGATTATAGCTAAAAGGAAACTATTTAAACTCGCTCCGTTATCATGTACGGAAGTCTAGTTGAGTCCGAAAGTTTTACCTAATCACAAAGGGGTCAAAATCTTGTTTTTTGAGAATCTAACCTTTCTCTCACACGCGGAAGAGACATCAAAAAGTTTTTTAAAAAAATTATATGGAAAACAATTTATTGTTGACCACATTTTACAGAAACTGAAGATCTCATTTCATCGAGTAGCTGGTGCATTATCATTAAGAAGTGGAGTGTCGTCAAATTCTATCGCTTGCACAATACTAAACTATAATTAAGAGACATATTTTTTCCTTTTTAAACTGAGAATAAAATTTCAGTGAGAAAATGTGTTTCAATATTTAAATCAAATCAATATAGCAATCAAACTGGTTTTGATGTGTTTTCATTATTTACTTCTAGAGATTTGGCAGATTTTAATAACATTTCGTTTCTTCCTCGCTTAAATATTAATTTATCATCTATTGTGTGAATGCGTTTTTCACTTAGTTTTTAACAATAATCCTTAAATTAATGTTTGAATTTCTTTTATGCATGAGTAAAGTAAAAATTGAAACTGTTCTCATGATTTACGGAACGAATGCGTCGCGCTTGGACAGCATGTATTTAAATGTATATTAATATCGATGATTACGGATTACCAATGTTATGCAAAAACTAGAACCATGCTTGAGACAGCTAATGTCAGTAACTGGTTACAGTGCTAATTAAAAGAAGAAAAAAAAGATTGACAAGAAATAAAATTTCATATACTAAAAAAAAACATAATTTTTTGAAGTTATACTTCTTATGGGACTTCCAACAAGGTTTCGTTAAACGTTTAACGCTACATTTTTATTGGCCGGGAAATCACGTGGTAGGATCCAGTTTTCCCTCATTCATTTCCATATTGTTTTGGTTCTCACTAGCATAAAAATAATAAAAGTCATAAAAGTATTGTTTTTCTATAAATATTTTTTTAGTTTGTTTTGATACACATATAATTTAATAGGGTAGTATTTTTTATTTTCAAATTTAGTGGATAACAATTGTAAAAAATGAGTGAAAACAATCCCACGGACAATGCGACGGATTTAAGGTTATGTCAAGGTACGTCTCTTGTGAATATCAATTGATTGTTAGGTTTTCTCTTCTGAAATTACATTATGACGCATTCACATACATTATTAATACAAATACATTTTCCAGGGCGAGACGATGAGGCAACCACAAGCACTTCCACTGGTTCAAAAGGTCCACGAGGGAAAAATGCACAATATTACCGTGATTACAGAGCACGGAAGCGAGCGGTGCAGGAAAAAGAGTCGTTGAATAGAACTAGTGATCCTTCTATGACTGCTGATTCTTCTACTATTAACGTCGCAGGTTGCGAAGCTTAACTTCTTCCGTGCGGAGGGACTCCACGCACTATTCTTTTTAAATTTATTAATATCCTGCGAATTTAAAATTTAACAGGATTCTCTTTTCTGCCCGAGGATTACTTAGATGAGAAACATTTATTAACTAAGAAGAGAAACATTTTTGCAAAATTAGAAAATTTTGGTATAATTAAAATACGAATTCTTCACCATTAAGCATTAAATTAAAATTCAAGTATTAATTTAAGAATCATTGTCAAAAAGGAAATAAAAATAATAATTACATAATCGGTTATTAATTTGTTTTTAAGCGAGGAAGTTACAAAATGCTTTTGAAATCAACTAAATCACTATGAGGGACAAAAAAATCAAAATCACTTTGATTGCTTCTGTAAATTTGGAGTTGTTTAGACTAGCTAGATTTGAATTGATTTGACAGATTTCAGTAGCTGCTCTATATCAGATTTTTATGAATTTTTCAGGTTTTTTATGCAGTGTGCTTCGTAATTACCACTCTCAATATATTTTTTGAGAGTCTTTTAAAATATAAAGTGAATAAAATATGGAGGGAATCTTAAATTAATGTTTAATGCAGGGGGAAGAAATACAAAGGAGTATGAAGAATAAATATAAAGAAATACTGTTCAAAAAGCACCAAAATCTGTTAAAAAAAAAAAGAAAAAAAATATTTGAAATTTTAAATTTATTTTGTCCCCTCTCATCTATTTCCCAGGATAACTTGTTTTGCTCTTGATGAAGCGTCCCGCAGTGAACTGATCGTTAAGACGCGGTTCCCAGCAGATCACCGAAGTCAAGCATCACTGGCTGCTGTCAGAGTGCGGGTGGATGACAACTTGGATCAGTCTGCTCAGGGACTGAGGGTGTGCGGTATTGGTCCTTGTTAAACTGTTCTACCGTAAAGTGCTCAACTTCGCGTGCAGGTCGTCGGGCTACCGAAACGGGGGTGCCATCCCGTCTGCAGGGGATCAAAATTGTAATGGCATACCTTCGGATCATCTTCGGGATGTTTACCAGACCGTCGCCAGTAGCCCATCACGCAGATTTAGTGCGACGTAAATGAACTACAGAACAGAATCTTCATGAAGCATTTTCATTTCATGCGATTCGCATATGCTATCACACGACAGTGCGTTTCGCGCAAGCAGTTCACATCGCATTTAGTTTATAAGCAACTACGAAATCCCTTCCGCAGAGAATCAAAATTTTCTTGACAAGTCCTCAGGAATATTCACCAGGTGCAGCTCTTGTGCTACGACAATGAAGTACTAATACATAAGTAAATTAAGTACTAATACACTGTACCAACAAGGAGGAGTTCTGTAAGCAGCAACAAAAACGAAGCTGAAAAGCTGAATAATGAAAGCTATAAGCTACTACTTAATTTTGTCTGAAGCGTGCCATTCATTTGTTACGGTTAGTGTGATTTTCTGTCATCTAGTGTTTGTAAACACTGGTTTTAGATGGTTTCAGTTTTAAATTGATATTTAACCAAAAGTATAATCATGAATGTTATAACTGCGATAAAATTATACGTAAATAAAATGATAGATGATTGTGGAAGTGGCATGAAAGTTTTATTAATGGACAAAGAAACGGTAAATAGAATTTTTTTCGTATACATTTCTGTGCATTTTCAAAATCTGTAGTAGAATTCGCATAGCACGTTTACTTAATTTTTGTAATTTTACTAGTTATCTTGCAAAAATTGCTTTATGAACGGTCTTAGTTATGCATGTATGTTGACACACACGTAAATTCCCTGTTCTTATATAGAGCTACCGAAAATCAATTCAATCTTGTTTAAAGTTTCTGAATACAATTTGATGTTTTGAAACATTTACTTTAGTAACTAGAAATTGGATGGATTCAAAATATTCATTGTTCTTATAAATTGGATACATAATTTTCTAATATGTACTGAGGCTAATATTAGCCTGAAATCTGTTATTTTAGATTTAAAACTTTGTAAATAAAAATTCTTCTGTTTATTTGTGCAATAATCAGATGTGCGCAAGAGCCTAATTTTTTAATTGTTTCTAATAAACTCAAAGTGATTGTTAAAACATAAAATTTAGGAAAGAAAATGTTTATTAAGTAATGATTTAGTAATACAGTTCTTAGTTGTTGTTTTTTTACTTTAAAAAGAGAAAATAAAACAATTGAATTTGTTTTTATTTGAAAATCTACTAATGTCTAATAATCTACTAATCTGAAAATTGACTAATGATTTTTTTCACACGAAAGAAATTTAAATTATATCAAAATGAATTTTTCTAAACAATACAGTATTTTTTATTTGATTACAGTAATTTTCTGTAGAGGCACTGCATAATCAATTAAAATTTAGACTGCATAACTGTCTAACTCATTCTAGACTGGGATGTGCTGTCTTTTCTATAGTGGTTAGAGCAACTGACTTCAACCCTTGGTTCAAATCCTACTGCCAACCGACAAACATCTCTTTTACACACTCTCCTCCACAAATTATTTATAACTGAGCTGAATTAAGAACCATTTATTTGTTAATGAATTATAACTAAACTAGGTAAAAAATTCCACTTGTAACAATTAGGGGAGGACACTTGTGGCTTAAATCAATGGCATTGGAGAAAATTGACAAAACTAATAAGTTTGAATGACATTCTTCATGACGAAACCTTGTAACCTGCTATTGTGAAAATAATGTTTCTCCTTGACTGTGAGCATAGCTGCTATGACTTTTAAAATCTTTTTTTAGACTAGCATTGTGAGTATGGCTTTTGCACAGTCCGAAATACTTCAGAAAGAAGTTTTCCTGTTTGAAAGATTGGATATGGCAAGAAGTGAACACATGAAGCACTTGAAGTGTATTGCTTTTTTAAGGCCAACCAAAGAAAACATTGACAATCTAGCCTGTGAGTTGAAATACCCAAGATATGGACAGTATTATATCTGTAAGTATAGGGTTTCAATATATTTATTGATATTATTATTTTAGAATACATCAGAACCAGAATTAGATAAAATGAAAAACTTTCTGCAAACACGAAATCTCAATTAAAAATCTTTCTGCATGCATTGATTAACTCTTGTGATTAGTTTCAATATTTTCATTGCCACATCATTTTGGCAAAATTCGTTTGAAAATCACAGATTTTTTTATATAATGTTTAATTTTTATAAAACTCTATATAACTTTTTATAAAATTCTAAATTTCTATAAAACTCTAACAATAAAAATGTAGCCTTTGGAAAACATTTGCCTTATTAACCAACTATTTTGCTTTGAGTTTTTACTAAAATATTTTAAATTTAGGAATTATATTTTGTTATTTTCATTCTTTACTGCTTTTATAAAACATTTGACTTTCAAAAAAAAATAAATTATATTATACTGTTTTATTTTTATTAGATTTCAGCAACATTGTGAGTAAAAGTGACATAAAAGTTTTAGCAGAAGCGGATGAGACAGAATCAGTTCGAGAAATACAAGTAATATTTGAATTTTTAACTAATATATTTGTGTATTTTAGTGGTAAAAATTATGAAGGAATAAAGAAGTAGGTTTTAAAAAAGTGTCATAACTTAGAAATCTTTATTTCTGTAATCCATTAAAAAATGTAGTTTATTTTAAGATATATATGTATATATATTTTAAGATTATTTGTACAATTGATATAGTTTGAGTTTTAACATTTCTTTTTACTTCAGTTTTTAATATTTTTTTTATAAATAATTTTTTATATTTATGTTTAATAAGTAATAAGACTGTATAACTTTTGAATTTATTACACTATGAAAATCCTTTAATTATCACAAATCATTTAGAGAGGCAGATGCAACTGTCTTAAAGTAATAAAATTACTGTTTTTAAGCTTTGTACTTTCATGATACTGTTCTTATACAATATTTAAGAAACATTGAAGAAAATTTCTAGAAAGTTTTTACTTGGGTTGTATGAGATTTATAATTATGCAAAAATGGTTTCCATGAATTAATAATTACTGTAATAAATTAGATAGCTGAATTCTGTTCATTTCATTAACACATCATTTAATATTTTTTTTATCCTATACAGTTAGTTGGTATTATGTTTTTGGTACAATAAAATGATAATCCCTCTATACTCAGGATGGTTATTTCTTTATCTCAGTTCATGTGTATATATATATATATATGGGCTGAAGAAAAGATTATATCTTTTTTTTTTTCCGGTTTTTTAATTAACAATTCATTTTTTTTTCTTTTTAATAAAATGTTTTTTGTTATTTTTTTACTTATTATTTCCCA